CCATGCCCCGACCACGTGGGGTCCTGGGATTGAACTCAGTCTATCAGGTTTGGTCTCAAAGTGCCCTTACCAAGTGAGCCATCTTGCTGGCCAGAAAAATTTGCAGAGTTGAAAAAGATGGTATGCTTTTTTGTGAACATTGACAGCATGATAAAATTTGCATGTAAATACAAAGGACCTAAGAATAGTCTACAATTATGAAAAATGGTTTATTCTGACTGAAGCCTTTCTTTTAACATGGTAGGTAGTATTCTTGGCTTTAGGGTGCCTATAGATCACTAAACTCAGCAGAGTCCAGAAACAGACTCTGGTGTAATGTGATCAACTTGATTTTTTTTCCTTCCTTCCTTCCTTCCTTCCTTCCTTCCTTCCTTCCTCTTTTCCTTTCTTCCTTTCTTCCTTTTTGGTTTTGTTTGTTTGTTTTTGTTTTTGAGACAGGATTTCTGTGTAGCCCTGGAACTTTCTCTGTAGACCAGGCTAGCCTCAAATTCAAAGATCTACCTGCCTCCCTAGTGCTGGGGTTAAAGGCTGTGCCATCACTGCCCAGCTTCAACAAAAGATCCAAAGTACTTCAGTGAAGAAAATACAATCACTGCAACTAGTGGCACTGGAGTAACTAAGTGCCCATATGGGGAGGAAGGATGATCTCTAACAGTCATATACAATAATCTAATTAAAATAGATGATAGACCTAAACATGAAAATGATAGGATTAGGGAAGTAGTTCAAGTATGAGTGCCCGAGTTCAGATCCCTAGCACCCACCAATGCTAGCTAACTAGACTAAATAAACCTGTGAGCCCCATGTTCAGAGAGAGACCCTGCCTCGGTAAATAAAATAAAGAGCAGCTGACCTCCTCACATACAGACATGCACACCAAATATACACATGCAAATAATTTCTCTTAAAAAATAAAGACAACAAATTCACTAAAAGGGGGGAGGGCAGGAATGGTTAAGAGCCCTAGCTGTTCTTGACCCAGGTCCAATACCCAGTGCCCTTATGACAGCTCATGACTGTGACTCCAGTTCCAAGGGATCCAGTGCCTGGCCACTGTGACCAAGTGTGTATGTGGCTCACAGACATATATGCAGATAAAACACCCATACACATAAAGTTAATGTTTGTTTTGTACAGGCTTGCACAGAAAACCCAAAGGGAATAATTGAAATGGGTAACAGACCTGGGCCGTGGTGGTTCATGCCTTTAATCCCAGCACTCGGGAGGCAGAGGCAGGCAGATCTCTGTGAGTTCGAGGCCAGCCTGGTCTACAGAGTGAGTTCTAGGACAAATTATTGTTTTGGTTTTTCAAGACAGAGTTTCTCTATGTAATCATGGCTGTCCTGGAACTCACTCAGTAGAGGATGGCCTCAAACTCAGAGATCCACCTACCTCTGCCTCCATAGTGCTGGGATTAAAGGCATGCGCCACCACTGCCCAGCTTATAAAATAAAATAGAAAATATCTGATCAAACACTTGTCCAAAAAGTCTGGCAAGGGATGTGGTGGCACATGCCTGCAATGCCAGCATTTAAACAACAAAAAAGATAGTATCCCATAAAAAAAGTGTTCATCGTTATTATCAAGAAGTTTAAATGAAAACCATAAGACACCCCCATGCATGCAGAATGGCTAAAATTAAAAGAATTACAATATTCAGTGGACATAGATGTGGAGTAACTGGGGTTCTTTTAGGTTGCTGGTAGCTACCATCTGAGAAGCAAGGTGGCCGCTTTCTTTTTTGCAGATGGTTTGCTTAGGAATTTATTTACCCAAGAAAAAATAAATAAAACATGTTCACACAGAACTTGAACATTCATGGCTGCTTTATTCATAACAGCCCCAAACTGAAAACAACTCACAAAACATCATGTTAAGTGGATGCACCAATTGCAATGTGCCCAAATGATAGCAATGTAAAGGAACAAATCACTGGTGTCTATAAAATGTGTGTCTCTCAAAACACATGCTGAAGGAAGCCCACCCAAGAGACTACACCCATATAATTTTATTGATAAGTTCTAGAAAAATGCAAATGGTGGGTGGCACAGTAGCATTGACTGTTGCCAGGAGACAAGATTATGGGGTGGTGACTATACAAAGAGATTGTTAAAAGATTCTCTTCAAACAAACAAAAAAACATGATTTTCTTATAGAAATAAAAATAAATGCAAAAAGTCTAGCTCATTAATGAGGAAATAAGATATGGAAGAACAGAAATTTACAGATGAGCAGTGTTAGAAATAAAGGTATATATGAAGGCAAAAATGGTTTCTTCCATACTTCAGGTAGACATCAAGTCAACTTCTATGAGACGGGAGAATTTACATTCCAGTAGCCAAGAGTCTTTGTGCTTTACTGTTGATGCTACAAATGTAACAATAGAGCTGAGAGACAGACTCGTGGGATCATGGGAAGAAGGATAAAGGGTGCACTGCCTGTGGAGAGGGCAGCGTTACTCATGACTTTTTGTCCTCCCCCCAAATTCTCACACACCTTTTTCCTTCAGCAAGCACAGATAAAGAAATCAGTCATAAGAAGGCTCTATCTAGTCTTAGCTATGACGGTCACATGAACGCATACATTTAAATACCTGTCTGGTATGCGTGCAACACACACACATGTTCCCCAGGGCATGAGAAGATGTGAGCGGACACCTTTTGGGAGCTGGTTCTCTCCCCCACTGTCTGGGTGACAGGGATGGAGCTCAAGTGGTTGACAGCCAGTGCCTTTACCAGCTGAGCCATCTCACTGGCCCACGAGAGTCTGTATATTTCTTAAAACTCACTGAGCTGTACAGTTAAAATGGATATGTATTATTTTAAATCTTATCTGTCTGCCTGCATGTATGTCCATGCACCAAGTTCATGCCTATTGCCCATTGGAGGCCAGAAGTGGGTATCAGAGTCCCTCAAACTGGACTTCCAGATGGCAACTGATGGGTTACTTTTCTGTTGCTCTGACAAAACACTGTGACCAAGCTCAACTTATAGAAGAGTTTATTTGGGGCTTACAGTTCCAGAGGGATAGGAGTTCATCACCATCTGAGTGGGTGAATGGTATCACCAGGCCTGATGCTGGAGCAGCAGCTAAGAGACCACACTCCAACCCACAACAGGAAGCAGAGAGCACATTCAGAACTTCTGCAGAAGTGACACACCTCCTCCAACGAGCCACACCTCCTAATTCTTCCCAAACATTTCCACCAACTGAGGACCAACTATTCAAACATATGAGCTTATGGTGACTATTCTCAATCCACTGTAGGTCCAGGCATAGAGGCCTATGCCTTTAATCCCAGGACTAGGGAGCCAGAACAGGTAGGTGGGTCTCTGGGAGTCCCGGGACAGCCAAAGCTACATAATGAAAAATCAAACCACTACAGTTGTGGGCGCTGGTAAGGTCATCTCTCCATCCCCTAAAAATGGATATATTTTATTATATGTAAACTGTGCCTCAATGAAATTGGTCAAAATCAGAAAAGATATCAGTTTCATGGCAATGAGGGGTGGGAGCAATGTAAAAATGGGAGTGCGTGCAGCAGGACTCCTTTAGCGACAGTGGGGACCGGAGCTTGGAATGAAGTAGCAGTTGTCAACATGGAGACAATGAATGACATGGAGAATTAATTGATGACCAAATGAATGAACAAACAAGCTTATTATTTTCAAAGTCACATTTAATCTGATAGAAAGCTTCAAAAGCACGGCTAAAAGGCTAAATACTACCCCCAGGTAGATGTAAAAGTATTTATATTTTTAAAAAGGTAAAGACTTTAGTAAATGCAGTTTGATTTAGGAACTGCTAACGTTAGAGTATCTATCATGTACCAGGCCGGCATCTTCTTAGGTGGATCATGCGAAGTTGCCAGTATCCAACCCCTTTGACCCGACCTCAGACCCAGGCTATCTGTCACCCATGCGTCACACCATTTAATGCCCCAAAGCGTCTGCTGCTGCAGAGAACGGGAGTAACTTCAAAAAACAAACAAACAACCCAGCGCAGCTCTGAGAATTTTACTCTGCGCTAGTCACTCCTGAACAGACCGTAGCTGAGCATTCTGGCCACCGTCTCCACCGACCCCCAAGTTCGCTCGCTTCAAGGTTCTCTCCTGAGTCCATCCCAGGTAGGCATCTTTTCCAATTCTCATCCCTCCGCCCAGACCGTTAAGATTCCTTCCTGGTCTATCCCACAGCTAGGGAATTCAAGTTGCTCAGAGGTAATCGCTCAGTGGCCTGCTGTGAAGACCCAACCCGAGGGTCTGGCAGAAGGGGCTGGGCAGTCCCAATGACCAGCGACACCAGCTGCAGGACAGATCTTCTGACCCCTGCACTCAAGCCTTCCCCACCCCACCCGCTGTCCTGGGAATGTGACTTGTGTGTACTCCTGGTTCTGACCATCCTAAAAACTGAACAGGAACTGCGAGCAGGGACCGCAGAGGTTCTCGTCGGAGGCGTGTTGCCAAGCCTCCTTGTAAACCTACCTGGCTGCACGCACACCTTTGCTTAGGTT